CTTCTCCCAGGTCCTGCCAGCTCACAGAAAGCGGCTGACGACTGGGAAAATAAGGTCGGTGGCTGTGGCACAGTCATCACAGTTTAGCCACCATGGACTGAGTAAAACGGAAGTGACTCCTGAACGAAACGGCACTTAAATTTAAGTCCCAGCGGAGGTTACTCAGTGAACAGCTGACGTAGCCAGAAAAAGCACTTTGGAACCATAGAGAAAACCATGATTTTTCTTTTCAATGTTTTTAACGATTTTATTTATCAACTTTTAGGGAGGGGGAAAGGAGAAAGAGAGGGAGAGAAACATCAATGTGAGAAATGTCAACCGATTGCCTTTTTATATGCACCCTGACCAGGGACTGAGCCTGCAACCCAGGCAGGTGCCCTGATCGGGAATCGAACTGGCGACCCTTCACTTTGCAGGATGATGCCCAGCTTAGCCACACCGGCCAGGGCTCAGGGGACTGATTTTGCAAAGCCACCCGATGCTCAGACAGATGTGGCTGGGTGTGTTGGGCCTGGGGGGCCCCCGCTGGAAATGCCTGGCACAAAGGCGGGGGCGAACAGGGCCAGCGACGGCTGGACGCGGGGTCGTCCAGCCCTCAGCCCCTCCCCGAACACCCATGGGGATAGGCAGACGCCACCTGTCAGCAAATGCACCAGTGCCACTGGCCTCCAGGTGTGAGACCAGGCGTGGGGCTCCCCACATGGCCTGCAGCAAGGGTCAGTGGCCTGGCCTGGGCCCCGCCCTCTCTCCTGTCTAACGGGTCAAGGACATTTGCTGGCAGCTGGACTGCCCGGGACCGGCTTATTGGCTGATGTGGGGTATATGGAAACATCTTTAAGGAAAAGCAGGCCTTTTGTGTAGTGGTAAAATGGAGCTAGACGAAACTTTTCAGTGGGGTATGAGGCCTCATGCTGTCCTATGCCTGAGCCCCATGGATTACTCAGAGCGTTGGGAGGCCATGCCCAGAACAATCTCTGTGCGGGCGTGTCCCCGGGGGCGCCTCATGTGACCCCAGCTGGGCAGGCCAGGTGGCGGGGGGAGGATACGGGCACGCTGAGCTTCCTGGCCCAAGATGGCCCCAGCGGGCCGCCCACGGCTGCGCCTTCTCCCCAAGGCCGCCGGGTCCAGCCAGGCAGGGGGAACCCCATGGCCCGGACCAACCACAGTTCGCATCTCCGTTCACCTGCCAAGAGACATCTTGGTTATTTCTAGTTTTGAATAAAGCTGCTGTGAACATTCATGTAAAGGAAATAAAGAAGCCACTCCCAGAATGTAGAGGGACCAAAGTTACCATCCAAGGAACTAACTGTGAGAGCACGCTCGGCCTCGGAGCTGCACAGAGGCTACTCCTCACAGGGCACCTACCTGTCCGATGGGAGCAACGCGGGGACAGCACCTGTGTCCATGCGGCAGTCCACGCTGCGTGGCGAGAGAAACTGGCTAAAGTCCCCCCACCACAGGGGTCACAGCTGCCGAAAGATGGCAGTGCCCCCGCACGCCTGGGTTCCGTAGCTCAGCTGGCTCCCAGCACTTGGTCAGGTTTGAGGAAGGACCTGGCCCTGGAGACAGGACAGGGATAATCTGAAGCTTTGTGAGCAAGAAGCATCTGCCGCAAGCTGGGTGTCTGGAACAGGGCCCGTTTCTTATGGTGTGGGAGGTTCGAGTCTCTTCGGGTTTGCAGTGGCCTGCTAATGCCCCTGCTCCTGCCGTGGGTATAGAGGGGGAGCCCAGAAAATGACCTGGAGGGCCCGCTTGTTCGGACACCAATGTCCCTAGTACAGTTGGTGTCACTGTTTTTCTAGGCGGCTCAGCTGAGTAAACAAAACCCTCCGCCACCAATCTTCCCATGTGACCTCCATTAAGGCTCGGAGGCTGAGGAACCTGCCACCTTACCCACCCAGCCCCGGACTCAGGCCCGGCTCTGCACCAAGGAGGGCACGTCAGGTGCAGGGGGCTCAGGGGACATCCGTCACAGTCCGACTTGGTCCCCACACACTGAGATTTGGCCACAAGATGTCCCCAGGACACTGCTCACGAGCACATGACTCAGTGGACGCCGGGAGCCCAGGTCGAGCCAGTTGCCCGTGATGCTCTGCGAGCCTCTGCGTGCACCTTCAACGTGAGGGCGAGGGCGGGCACGGGCACGGGGTCTGCGTCCCCGACACCTCCTCTCTGACGTCTAGGCGCAGGACGCCAGCAGCCGGCACAACGGCTCGCCTCAGAGTCCTGAAGGCGCCTGGTGCTGACTAGCAGTGCCTCTCCCTTCCTCTGTAACACCCCTCCACGGCCATCTTTATCAATACAGTGATTCTGCTGAAAGACAGAGTCATCGAGATGCTTGGTGAGCTATGACACAAACTTACACAGGGGCAGGGGCACATTCCCTCAGTCAGGAAGCAGTGTCACAGTCCCCTGAGGCTGCACCAGCTCCGTGCCTGGCGCCTGGGGGTCCAAGCTGAGGCAGGATGGCCGCGGGGTGTCCTGGCATGGCAGTGGGTTCCAGCAGGGCGCAGAGCAACGGATGAGGCACCCCTTTCTTGCACAGCATTGCCACAGCGCAGCCCCACTGTCCCCAGCACCCAAGGAGGGATGTCGCCCCTTGCCCTTTGCAAGTGTTCACGGTTTTGCTTCCGTGAGACGGCCAGGCGGGTGTGGAGCCTCGTCTGACAGAGCTCACTGCTATCTGGCATTAGCCCATGGCCATCGTCACCTGCGGTCCAGTCTCCAGGGCATGGACATCTCTGGAAATGGCTGTGCAGCTTTGCTGGAGGGCAGTCGAGGCTCATCTTCTGAAAGGGCCATCCACAACCATCAGCCATGTGAGCGGCAGACGTCTCCGCGGAGACAAGGTGGATGGTGTATGTTCTGCGATGGCCCTGACAGACTCTGGTGGCTGCCCCAAGGCGAGGCCTCTGGGGGGCGCTGTGGCTAGGCTGTGGCTTGGTGAGGTGACCCCCCCACCATCCCTGACCTGTGAGGAGCACCCAGAGCATGGCTCCCCCGCAGCCTCCCTCACGTCTGATGCGGTGCAGGTTGCGGCTACTCCTCCTCACTGACGTTCACGATGTGGGAATCTTGGCTACAGGACCCTCAGGGGCTGGCATGGCCCCTCCCTGAGGTGGTGGGGGACACCTGGCTGCACCCCCGAACCACGGGGCCAGCGTGGGAGGCCAGTCCCTGCACTAGGCGATCATGAGCTTGGGATCAGGCCTGCCTTCCAGGGATGGTGCTCAGGTCCTGGGGGGCGGTCGCGGCCCCGGGTGGAGGCAGGGCAGAGACCGGCGGTGCCCACTCCCAGCAGTGTGGTGGGGTCTTCCCTGCAGGGGCCTGGGTCTGTGATGGAGGGGCTGGGCCTGTTTTGGTGGCCCAGGTCAGATGTCCGTTTCCTAGGCCCACAGCACTTCCGCTCGTGTGGACCGAGTCAGACTTTAGCAGCTTGCCCCTCGATTCCATTCCCAGGGACCCCCGATCACCAGTCCGTGCCTGCGCCTCCACGAGTCAGGCTGCAGGTGGCAGGTGACCGCACCGGCCACCACGACAACCATGCCCACCCTGTCTTTGGCAACTGAGTGGCCCCCATAGGCCCTGACAGCCCGGGAACTGCTGCAGTTAGAGATCCCTGTTCTGTGGCAGCAGCTCCTGCTGTCGTCTCTGACTGGCAGAGGAAAACGACTGCTGAATCCTTCTGGGGTGCCAGGCCCCTCACAGCCGAATTCCTCACAGCCATGGGGAAGGCGTGCCCTCCGGGCCCCCCTGAGGTGGGTGAGCCGGACACCCATGGCAAGTCCCCTGGAACACCTCGACCTCTGTAAGCCCTCAGGCCCCCCTCTGTGGAACCCCAGGGCAGTTCTGGTGTTTCAACCCTAACTTAGTGTACCTGCCTCGTGGTCCACGTTTCAAACTACCAACAAGACCTTAGAGGCCCTTCTAATCCCTCGAGCTGCGGCATCGAGTCCAGACCCTCTGTTAGTGGACCTGTTTCAATGGATTTGGCCTGATGCATCTCATATTCCTGCCACCTGGATCCCACACGTGTTCGCCAGATTTCTGCCGGCCTAGGCCGGGCGAACCATGCGGCTCTTTTGGAGCGTAGCCACCTCCTCATGGGTCACACTTTGTACCTCACCCTTGGGGGCCTGCTGGGACCTGAATCTGGTTATAAGCAAAGCAGGGCGGGGCTGAGGATCCCGAGTGTCCCCTGAGGCCCCTGCCTAGGGCGAAGCCATTCTAGGTCCTCAGGTAAAGAAGGGCTGACCTCCTCTGGCAGGGCCAAAGGGGCTCTTCTGGCAAAGCAGCTGGCGGAACAAAGGGGTATGAGGCCCCCGGCTTTGCTGGGGCCTGCCCACAGCTCCCATCCCAATTTTAAGGATCCTGTTTCTTCCCTACCCACAATCTAGCTTTAGGAGAAAATGCCCTGGCGGCAGGGCTTGGCCACGTATGGGAGGGGACTCTGGGTGCCCTGCCTGATTGGGCTGCCGATGCCCGGCTGCCCTGTGTGTGTGGTGCGGCTGTCACTGTGTCCTGGGTGCCAGGAGGGCCCGGCCTGCCTCATCTACAGCTGTGGTGCTTCCTGCCCAGAAGCCGTCCTGGATGTGGCCCTTTGCCATCCTTAGTCTCACTCTCCTCAAGGTGGCCCTTCCTCCCACCCATCCTATGATTGGCCCGACCCTGCCCACGGGCTGTCTCTGCCCAGTTGCCTTTGGTCCCTCCTCGGCACCCCTTCCTGCCGCGCTTCCCCGCGGCAGGTGCTGGTCACTCCCTTCCCTGTCCCAGCCTCAGTGCCTGTGCGTCTCAGCTCCGGCCCACCCTCAGGGTGAGGAGCTACGTGGAGCCAACGGTCCTGGGGACCACACTCAGGGTCCCTTGTTGGGTGGGGGCCGACCACGCTGCCCAGGGGAGGGTCTGAGTCAATGACTCTTGGCTCTGACCCTGAGGGGGAAAAGGTGCGGGGGGGGGGGTTCCTTGGAGAATTCATACCTCGAGACTATAGATTTGCAACTTCAAGTTTACTGTAAAACACCCCCTTGCTCCAGGTTGGCCTCTAACCCAGGTCACATGTGCCCAGGTGTCTGGCCCAGTTCTTTTTTGTAAACCACAGAGTCACTGCTATATAGATGATGAATTTCACAAAAGGAAACAGGTCTCATGCAAAAAGCAAGGACTCCACAGACCAAGCCCTTCTCGTAACCAGTGACTTGATGTCCTCAGGGGTCCTGAGGCCTGGGCTCCGCATGCCTGGGTCAGGGCAAGGTGTGGGCACCACCTCCCTGCCCTCTGTGTGGCTGGGACAGGGAGTGGCCAAGTCACGAGCGTGGGTAGAGTGACCAGACGCTGATGTGATGATCTTTGGACCCCGCTGCCAGCAAGCCATCTGCAGCGAAGGCCAAGCAGTGGACAGCAGAGGCGTGGAAGGTCAGCACAGCCAGTGGCTTCATCGTCCGCCAGTGAAACACGCGAACACAATGGTCCCAGCCCGCAGTGGCCAGGATCTTCCGGTCAGGCCGGATCTTGACGTCAGAGACCCCGGGATTGGTGAGTTCGTGAGTTCGGCACACCTGTGAGATTGAGGGGGGCAGGCAGAACCATTAGGTGGCTCCTTAGACTTGGCGCAGAGGCTCCCCCCCACGAACCCTGCCCCCGCCCCCGCCCCCGGTGCAGCAGCTAGAACAAGGAGGGGAATGCGGGCTGCTAGGACGGCCGCACACCTCTGCAAACATACCCTCTTCCTCCTGGGAGCTGGGCGCAGGCCCGCCAAGGGGAGCGGCCTGACCCCTGCCTTTGGCCAAACCCTCGGGTTACGATGGAGGACTTAGGCCCTTCCTCAGGGAGCCCCTGAGGCCCCACGGAGCTGCATCCCTGCACAAGCCCCCTGCATGAGGTCTGCTGGGAAGTCGGGCTGCTCGGTCCCCTCCCATCGGGCTTCCAGGAGAAGCCTCAGTGGGCTGGGCCCTGAGGCCGGTCACCGCAGAAGGGTGCTGCACCCGGGCATCCAGGCGAGCAGAATGTCTCCGGCTTGACAGCAACATCAAGTCAGCATCTCTCCTTTGGGGGAGCCTCGCACCCACTGCCTCGCGAGGAGTACAACAAATGCAAACTCCATCTTCAGCAAAACTGAGATTACGTGAAACCTCGGGATGCGTGAGGGGTTCAAGTGCTGCCACGAGTGGGAGCCCACAACGTGCGCACAGGACGAGTGGACGGCAACACTGGAGACACAGGAGGCGGGGGGAGCTGCAGGGATGGCTGGGCTACGGGAAAGGCCTTGCGTCCCGGCCGGGGTCCCAGGAGACGGCCGGCGCTGGCACACAGCAAGGGGTTGCACACGCAGGTCCCACCTGTGTGGCGCAACCGTCCGGGCCGGCGTCCTTGCAACTGAGCGCCCCGTCCTCCTCCGTGCCGGGGCGGCCCCCCCCCGCCACGCGCCTCTGCAACCAGAGCTGCCTAGGGGTCACGGCTGTTCTTGGTTACACAGGACTGTGCCGTGCGCTGCAGGGCATCCGATGTCTCTGTCCCCACACAGGAAATGGCAGGCACTTTGCCATCATTGTGATGGCCCCGAAGGGCCACTTCCTCCCTGGCTCCTGGGTCTGGCCTAGGACTGGGGACAAGCAGCTCTCACTGCCCACCCCTCACCAGCACCCCCTTTTCTCCTAATTCCCCTCCCAGTGGGGCCATGGTGACCTCAGTGGAGAACGACTCATTTCTACAAAGATAACACAAGGCGAAAGAAGGAAGGAAACACGGAAAAACAAACGGCAATGTTCCTCGGAAGCAAATGGAAATTGCCAACCAGCATTTTTTAGCCATAAGTTCATAAAATGTCATGAAGCAGTTACCTTCATAAAACAAACACCCAAAGCAGAAAAACAGAGGAGGAAACTTGAACAGGCAGAGCACAGGAGGAGCGGGGAGGAAACTCAAAGAAAAGAAGGAGAATCGGAGGCAGCAGGCCGAGGCTGGGGGACTCTAATAAGGCGGTGAAGGCAGGAGCGGCACCAAGTAAGCAAAGGGGACAGGAAACAAAGGGCTACGATGGACTGGGCAGAAAACAGGCACGAGAGACCCGCAGAGGCGCGCTAGCATTCTCTGCTTTAGAAAATCAATTTTTTAATTGATTTTAGAGGTGAGGGGAGAGAGGAGAAACACTGATTTGCTGTTCTACTTATTTATGCATTCACTGGTTTCTTCCTGCCTGTGCCCTGACTGGGAATCCAACCCATAACCGTGGTGTATCGGGACGACACTCTAGCCAACTGAGCTACCTGGCCAGCCCTAGAAAAGCAATCTTAATTTCTAGAAATTGAAATCCTATGATCCAAGTCCAAAGAAAGGCTACAGAATAGTCAGTGTTAAGGTACGCCTAGTAAAATCATTGGACGCAATAGTCAATAAAGTCCCTTTTGTGGTGAGGCAAACAGATCAAGTCAGTTGATGGGGGTAAGGTATAGGCTGTCCTCAGAACGTCCCATGGCCATATCAGTGCCAGCAGACGGCAGAGTGATGCCTGCAGAGGCCGTGAAGGGAGGCATGGCCCAAGAATTTCATATCCAGCCAAACTGCCGCTCAAGTGCAAAAACAATAGACAAGCATTTTTGAACATGTAAGAACCAAAGAATATGCTCCCATAAGCTCTTCTTGAAGGACTAGAGGATTAACCCCAGTCTCATAAGAAAACTGGAGAAATACAGCAAATGGCCTGGCAGGGAAAATTGAATCTACTTACCTGTAGGATTAGGTCTAAAACAATATGGGGATTATGGCTTTAGAACCGGTTATGTAACTAACAGAAATATGGGAGGGTAGCAAGAGAGATGGGATTTTAAGTTCACTGATTTGCTCATCTTTTGTCATTTGGGGAAAAGACACAATAGTCAACCTCATATTTGAGAGATCATCTGATACCCCTCTGTAAATAATGACAAAATATTATTTCCTCCACCCCCCCAACCACAGACATTAGGTACCTTTGCTTCCTAGTATTTGCCCTTGTATTTCTCCATAAAGGAATAAAAACAGAATTATGACTGGAATCCAAAGTTAAATCCAAATCTGTGCTATGTATGAGAGAGACACCAGAAGGATGATTAGCCACGAGACTGCAGACGAGAGAAACGGGTCCAATCTTAGCAAAGACTGAGTTCAGAGCCAAAAGCATTGAGTCAGACTATATGCCGTACTTCACAATGACGGGTACAACTCACAGTAACGAGCTGTAAATACCGGTTCAACAAACAAACAGTCTTTTTACTTACGAAGCAAGAATAGGGAAGTGGCTACGATGGAGTAACTCGTACCAGACCAGTCCTCCTGCTATAAACAACCACTGAACTGGACAAAATATGCTAAGCAACTGTGTCCGGGCGCTGGACAGCAGGAGGGAAGGGCAGCTGATGAGAGAAGTCTCCCAGATGCCCCAGCAGCTCGCCGCCCTGGGAGATGTCCCAGCCCCAACTCCAGGTGGAGCCCCGTAGCTACGTGAAGCTGATGAGGCAGGGGTCCGAGTGTGGGGCAGCCGGAGCAGCCGAAGTCTGTGGGGCACGGCAGCAGGGTGGAGGGAGATGGTGGAGGGACTGAAGGCCGTGGGTGGTCCCATGAGTTCTGTGTGAGGCTGGGCTGTGCACGTTCAGAGCACCACGCCAGGTTTGCCAGACAGTGGCTGCTACAGGGCTGAACAGAACGGATACAGGAGAGCAACAGTGATCTCAGGGTCCGCGGGGCCAGAGGGCAAAGGCTGTGTGACACCCAATACCCACTGAGACGCCTGGCTTCAAAAATGAGGGTTCCGTCTTTGGGTAGGGACCCCTCTAGACTTGCTGTGACAGAGCGGGAAACCAGGCCCTCCAAGTGTAGAAGTTGGTCCCACCTCATTAGAGAAGCCTGAGAATGAACCTGGGTGACCTGGGTCACAGACCCAAACATACAATGCAAAACTACAGACCTGCCCTACCAGAGCCCAGAACTGAACCTACACAAGTTCAAGGTGAAAGCCAGTAACTGGACTGCCTGGAAGAATAAAAGTGAACACTCCTCAAGGCAAAATAATGGAATTTAGAGCTTCTATTATGTATTATTTGCAATGTCCAACACACAAATAAAAAATTATTATACAAGCAAAAAAGCAGAGATACATGACCCATTGGTCAAAAGGAAAAAAAAAAAAAGCAGTTAATAGAAATTGATCCAGAACGTCACAGATGTTGAAAGTATCAAAGACTTTAAAGCACCTATTTATATGTTTAATAAAAAAAGACAAATGCATTAATTACTAAAAAATTATCTTAATGAGTGAACAGAGAGGAACTATTAATAAAAAAATGAAAATTACCAACAAAGAACCTGCCCAGAATGGCCAACACAGTATTAAAGGAGGAAACAAGGCCGGAAGACTGGTGCCACCTGACTCTACGACTTCCTATGAGATGGCCGTGACTGGGCAATGTGGCCCTAATGAAAGGGTAGCAAGTAGGTCGACGTAATAGACTAGAGAGCTCAGAAGTAGACCCGTGTGACACAGTTGGCTTGATCTTGGACAAAGGAGCAAAGGAAGTACAATGGAGCAACAACAATCTTTTCAACAATTGGTGCTGCGACAGCTAGACATCCACATGCAAAATAAATGAATTACACACAGACCTTATGCCTTTTACAAAAATTAACTAAAAATGGATCACAGACCCAAATATGAAATGCAAAACTATAAAACTCCTAGAAGACAACACAGGACAAAATCTAGATGCCCTGGGGTCGGGCAGTACCGTCTCAAATACAACACCAAAGGCTCACTCCATGAAAGAAAGAATTGGTAAGCTGGATTTCCTTAAAATTAACATGTTCTGCTCTGCGAAAGGCACTGTCAAGAGAATGAAAAGACACACCACAGACTGAGGAAAATATTTGCAAAAGACACATCTGATTGTCGTCCAGAACATACAAACAACTCTTAAAACCCAGCAACAAGAAAACAAACAAGCTAATTAAAATATGGGTCAAAGACCTCAACAGACACCTCACCAAAGATCTGCAGAGGGCACATAAGTCTAAGAAATGACGCTCCCGGCCTGAGGCCTCGCCGTATGGTCGTGGCGGTGTGGTTGCGGCAGAGGCGGGCGGGGGGCGCATGTCTGCCCCTGCTCAGCCTCGTCCTGTGCGGCTCCTACAAGTCCATGTGGCCCAGGCCAGAGGGGACCCCCTCCGCCCCCAGCCTGGGGAAGAGGCAGCAGCCGCCACTCTGCAGGGGCTTCAGCCACACCACGCGGGTCTCTCACAGCGCGTCTCGGACCCAGGAGACTGAGGTCGGACAGGCCCGCGCCCCTCCTGGGAGGGTGCCATGCACTGAGAAGCAGCGCCGTCTGGTGTATTTCCTACCCAGGTTTATTTTGCAGAATTTGCTTCATGGAAGTTTCAGAAAGCACATGCCCCAGGCCACTGGTTCTCTGGCTTTCCTGAGCAGGGCTTTGGAGGGGAGCAGAGCAAAGGTGGCCCTGCATGTTTATGAAGCCCTCCTCCCACCTGAGGAGCTAGAGGGGAGGCGGGGGCACACTCAGAGCTTCGCAGC